CCATCATTCCAGTCCCCAAGAAAACCTCCATCAGTGGACTGAACGATTACAGACCTGTCACCCTGACATCTGTAGTTATTAAGTCCTTTGAAAGACTGGTGTTGGCCCACCTGAAGGACATCGTAGACCCCCTACAGTTTGCCTACCAGGCAAACAGGTCAGTGAACGATGCAGTGAATATGACACTGCATTACATCCTGCAACACCTCGAATCCCCAGGGACCTATGCACGGGTCCTCTTTGTGGACTTCAGCTCAGCATTCAACACCATCATCCCAGACATACTCCACTCCAAACTGACCCAGCTCACTGTGCCTGCCCCCACCTGTCAGTGGATTACTAGCTTTCTGACAAACAGGGAGCAGCAGGTGAGGCTGGAGAAAACCACATCCAGCACCCGGACAATAAGCACAGGCGCCCCCCAGGGATGTGTGCTCCCCCCTCTGCTGTTTTCACTCTGCAACCAACAACTGCATCTCGATGGACCCCTCTGTCAAACTCCTAAAGTTTGCCGATGATACAACGGTCATTGGTCTCATCCAAGACGGTGATGAGTCAGCCTACAGACAAGAGGTTGAGCAGCTGGTCCTATGGCGTAGCCGCAACAACCTGGAGCTGAACACGCTCAAAACAGTGGAGATGACAGTGGACTTCAGGAAGAACCCTCCCACCTTACCCCCCCCCCAGCCATGCTTGGCAGCACTGTATCAGCAATAAAGTCCTACAAGTTCCTGGGCTCCACTATCTCCCAGGACCTGAAGTGGACGTCCAACATCAGGACCATCACCAAGAAGGCACAGCAGAGGATGTGCTTCCTGCGCCAGCTCAGGAAGTTCGAGCTGCCCCAGGAGCTGCTGATACAGTTCTACAGAGGAATCATCGAGTCTGTTCTCTGCACCTCCATCACTGTCTGGTTTGGCTCAGCGACCAAACAGGACAAGTACAGACTTCAGCGAACAGTCAGGACTGCAGAAAAGGTAATTGGGTAAGCCTGCCCTCCATGGAGGACCTGTACACCGCACGGGTCAAAAGGAGGGTGGAGAGGATCCCTACAGACACATCACAGCCCGGACACAATCTGTTTGAACTCCTCCCCTCTGGATGGCCTTACAGGTCACTGTGCACTAAGACAACCAGGCACAGGGACAGTTTCTTCCCCCACAGCAGTAAGGAGGACCTGGATTTATGTGTCAGAAGTGCTTCCAGCTGTGGATCATGTCTGTGTCTTACCCACTGTCTGCATTTCTCAGCCATCTTAGCAGACTCTGCAACAGCACAAGCATATGTATTTAATAACAATAAATAACCTAATCAAACTTTTAGAAATTATTCGGCATTTACATGCCTCTGTACAGACGCCAAGTTACCTTAACTGAAGAGTTTACACGAATTATGAGCTTTATTTTAAATAAAGAGCTTCGTGTATACTCAGCTAGCTGTTAGCACCACCAAACTCCTTTATGCTGTACTGCGCAAGCTAACGCAGCTAATTAGCCGCGACTTGCTTATAAAAGCGATTGAGACCGTTCAAAAATTATTCAGTGCTCACCTGCCTGAGTATAAACACAGTGTAACCTGAACTAAACAGTTCACATGAATTATTATGAGCTTTACGTTTAATAACGAGCTTCGTGTCTATTGTGCTAGCCATTAGCAGCCTATTGTAATGCTATGGGCTAAGTGAACCACTGCCTCGTTCAAAATACATTGATATAAGCTTACCTCGCCACGGTTCCGTTCTGATATAATCCTTCTTTGGTCAGGCTTGATTAGAAAAGTACAACGTGTTTGGAAAAAAGGCTTTAAGCTGCTGTCTAGCAGAGCAAGTTCTCTGAAAGTCCAACGTGTTTGGAAATAAGGCTTTAAAGTGAGCCACTGCTTCAATGAACAGCGGTTTGCTGTCGGCGCACGCAATGCAGTGTCAAAAACCTCCTGGTCAACAATTGAAGAAAAACTATAAATCCTATCAAAACAATTTCTTCACAGTGAACAGCAGGAGGGTTCAACAAAAATGATGATCACCTCTATGTCAAGATATTCCAGAAAATGAAGAAGCAGTGCCGATTTACAAATGCCATAACTTTTGCTTCGAGCTTACTTTCTGAATCCTTCCGTTGAATGGCCGATTATGGAGCAGTGAGACGGCACTGTCTCTGGAATCTGCGATGTTACGCAAATGACAATTTTCTCTACGATTTCCATCTGTTATATGTGTATAAAGCGTAAGGATGGCAGAATAAGAGCAGAAAAATGGGCAAAAAATTGTTGAAAAACACAGACAAGCTAGAGTGGGGAGTCACGTGACTCAGAGTATGCCACTGGGATTGAATTGGCCCATTCATATAGAGAAATAGACAAAATATAAATGTCGATTATCAAGATATCAAGAAGATTGTTGCAGCATTGGTAGCTGAACTTCTCGCAAGTTGAATAGAGTTGAAATGGCGTTTCTAGCCCAAGGTATGCCGGAGATATTAAGGTTCAAACCTTTTCCCATTCATTTCCAATGGGAAAATTTTTGTGAAAAAAGCTGAATTTATGAAAAAGTATGAAAGTTATAAAAAAGTTGAGTACATGTCATAATGTGCTTAAAAAGCTGAACAGTTTGATACCAGAATGGGATGTCTAGCTGAAAGTGTGTGGGAGGAGATGAGCGGCGAAAAACGTACGGAAGAAACTATAATAAGATTTGGAAAACAAGAGTGTGGTTGCTTCGCATCCACACCAGTAAATAAAGAACAGGAGAGCATAGTGTGGATGCTTTACAGCATCCACACAAATATTGATGTATGATGATTAAATAACAATTTTAATACATGTACATTTTTGGCCACAAGGGTGTCAGGAGGGTGGTACAATCAAGGAGGGTGGAGGGGTTAGGCATCCAGATTTGTGTGTGTGTGTGTCAGTGTCCGTTATTTCATTGTGCCCTAACAAACCATTGCTCCCCTACTTCCAGTCTACAGATCATCATTGCACAAACAAATGGTTCCCTGCATGAAAACTTATTTCACTT